CATCCTCTAACATGGATTCTCAATATTGAGACACATGCCATCTTCGATGTGTTGCAATACATCTGTTTTCTGTTCCCACGGGAACCTCTTGCTCACATCCCCACAGTTGGCCAGCGTCAACCATGACATGTTCCTCTTTACTTGTTTCTATTAAATTTTACGGTTATTTCAGCACAACTTGTTTGAACCCATTTGAACTCAGTTTGAACTATAACCATAAGTTATGTTTTTTTTCTTCATAATTTTTGTAAAAAAAAATTCTTGTTCCCGCATTACAGAGTTTGTGCTCCGGTATTAGAAATGCTTACAGCATGGGATTCCTGGAAACACTCCGATACATGTAGAGAATTAAAGTGGTAGGTTTACTCTTTAACTTAAATATCTAACATGACTGTTTTGTGTGAATGGGTTAAACTTTGCACTGTCCACCTGCACGGCCCGGATGTAGAACTGAATATCTGGACCAAATCCATTTGATCATGACCAAGGGGAGCAGCAGGTGATTATCCAGAGAGATAAGCCTGAGTCAGCATGAAACTGAAATTAATATATGCAAAACACATCAGCTAATATATTTCATTTAGATAAGTGCTCAGTGCCGCATTCAACATGTTTGCAGGAGTTTTGTGATTGGGCAGTTTAACAAGATCATTTTTGCTGCTTTTGCAATTTTACTGTTACTGTCAATCAAGAAAGAAGAAGCAGCTGCAGGTTTAATGTAGGTGTAACATAATAAAAGGTTTGCAATATAGTTTGGAGACGCTACTCATGAGACTAGCTGTTGTAAAGGCTCACCTTTCAGCACATTCACTTCACCAGATGCACCTTGTTTCTTTTCCTCACCTTTGATTGGGTGTGGTGCTTGGCCTTAACTGCACTCACCTGTCACTCCTTATATAAGGACTGCACTCACCCACCCCTCACTCTTTCTTCACTCCCACATGGGGCGGCAGAGATAGCAGTCCATGTGTGTCTTTCCTTTACCCGTTATCCAATAAAAAGACAAAACCTGCAAATGACTGATGACTGCTTATTCTCTTTCTAATCGGATGAGCCCATGATGATGACTACTTAAACACTGAACCAACCTTCCTCCAAAACACTAGCACTCTTAACCAGTCACTTCACCCTCTTTAATCAGGCTTTCTTTAGTCCATATCTCCTACTCTGGACTACAGTGTCCCAGAAGCATTGCAAATGGATTTAAATAAAAAATAAAAAATATATATGAAGTTGATTTTGACTCCGTGAGGCAGGGAGTAAGGAGGACCCAAATGCAGATGCTTGGAGCCGTTTATTTGGCTGCATATCCAGGTACAAGAATGGATCAGGCAATACAAAGGAAACAAAATTGTCAAATTACAGAAACTGAATTGAGCTAAACTAATCACAGACACAAAAAATAAACTCCAGGGAAGAGCAGACAATCCAACCAATAGAGATGGTAAGCTCGAAATAGATGTTTCAACACTGTCTTGAGTGTCTGAAGCGCATGTTCAAAACACCCAGATCATGTGAACATGACTAAACAAGGTTTTGGAGCGCGTCGCCCCATTTTCAACAGGTGGCGTACAGAGTGCTTCTAGGCACCGCCAGATACGATGCTATCCTCTGTTTTTTTGGGGGTTTTTAAAACTATTTGATGTATCAGGTGATGTCATCCTCACTATGATCTATTACTCACATACTGTGCTGCCATAAGGAATATATTTATACTGTTAAAACATATTAGGAAAACAAATCCATTAATTACAGGTGATCTCTTAACATTTTTAGTGGGAAATCAGTTTTTCTCTTTTCCTTTTTTTAAATTCTCCTTTATGCTTCTGGTTTGAATATCTCATGTTCACTTTAACCAAAACACCAGACTCACAGGAAAACTTCATGCCAGTGTTACAGGATGCAGCTTTCATTGCAGAATAAACAACAGGAAAGGTTGTTCATGGTTCAGAACATTATCAAGAACAACTATACCAGGTTCTAGCTTGATAGTATGAAGAACAGACTTGGTGACACAAACGCCTGGAAAGTTCAAAAATCAGCTAAACACAACCAAAGTTGAGGGCTGTGCACAAAAAAGTCGACTGACCCCACGAACGGCGGTAAACCTGCGTGGTTACTACAGTAAACACAGCAGTCATTTCCTAATGTTTTTCTTTTTAAATTGACTTATTGTGAGCAACATGAATGTTAACATTATTTTTCTTCAAAATAAGTATTGATCACAATCGCTGGCTGGTGTAATAAGTAGCTTTGATTGGAATTGTGCAGGCCTTGTTCAGAAGCCTAACCTAGCCTTTATAATGTCTCAATTGGTTCAATTCAATTCAATTCAATTCAATTTTATTTGTACTGCACCAAATCACAGCAACAGTGCTTTATAGGTGGTTTATATTGTAAGGTGGACCCTACAACAGGGGTGGTCAATTCCAGGCCTCGAGGGCCGGTGTCCTGCAGGTTTTAGATCTCACCCTGGGTCAACACACCTGAATGAAATGATCAGTTTGTTCCCAGGCCTCTGAAGAACTTCAGGACATGTTGAGGAAGTCATTCAGCCATTTGAATGAGCTGTGCTGGATCAACACATCTAAAACCTGCAGGACACTGCCCCTCGAGGCCTGGAGTTGCCCACCCCTGCCTGCACTACATAAAATCCATACAGGTTATTGAGTGAGCCCAGGTACCAACTGGGGATAATGAGCAGCATCTGAGTCCTCAAGAGAGCAAAGGGAGAGAGAAAGAGTGGGAGAGAGAGCAGCACCACATGCATGTAGAAATACTCAGCTCCACAGAATGTGGATATTACCTCTAAGATTAGAAATGTTGTTGTTGTTGTTGTTGTTGTTGTTGTTGTTGTAGAAAGATGCAAATTCATCACAATTATTTACTGACAGAAATTCAGTTGGTATGGTTTTGGAGGGATTCAGTTTATCAATGAATGAAAATAAAAAGCAGAATTAGACCAGTTATTGTTGATTAGTTGGGAGATGATTGGCTGGCTGATTTGATTTCATTGTTGTAGCAGTAAAGTGCTTTTTTGTAGTTTTCAAAATGCAATTTATTGCCATGATCATGATGCCAGGACTCTCTTGGAAATGAGATTTTAACCTCAAGTGAAATTTTTACCTGGAAAGATAAAGGACTATTGAACACGCTTGCAATTATTGCATTATTGTACAGATTAAGTGTTTTTGTAATCTTGTTAAAAGAGAGTTTTTCCATAAATGCAAAGCACTTTTTTATAAATGTGTAATAAGCACACACTGAAGAACACATCCTGGTCATAAGTTATTCCGAATATCATCATAGTGTTACTGGAGGCCTAGATACTTACTTACTGAAGTAAGTATCTAGTTCGAAACCACGTTTCTGTCCTACACCATTATTTTAGGGTCTTTATCTTTTAATATAAAGGGCCTGAAGGCAACTGTTGACCTGGAAGATTTTTAGGACAATAACCTCAGTCTTTCCTAATTCGAAGCAGGAAATCAGAGATCATCCGGTGATAGTTGGTATGAAAGACAGGAAACATTTGTCTTTGTCTTTGTCTGGTGTTGGAGTTACATCCCACGCTGACAAACCAAAGAGCACTTATAGATCGACTTGCTGCTGTTGTAAATGTCCAAGCATTTCAAATGAACAAAGTCTTTCTAGCACATGTACTTAAAGTCAGTGCAAACATGAAGTTAAAATATATCTGTCAACTCCAGCTCTGCCTCCTGCCCTAAATCATGCATCATAACATGTGTCTGCCATCTGTTAACTCTGTCATATTTCTGTCTTCTGGGATTTTTCGTTATTAATAAAAAAGTTCGTTGTGACACGTGATTTCTTCACAGTATAAAGTTTATGTGGATTAAATCACCTTAGATGCTGAACGAAAAGCGTGAAATTCGTTGGCACGACAGTTTAAACGCCTTCTCATGACGTCACGTTGCGTTAGCGTCCTGCTGCCA